TTAAGTAACAAAAGTCTGGAATGTGTATAGGGATTGGACATGTTGGGGGGTACCCCTCGGTCTCATTTCCTGCTGGGTATACACCATCATGTCCTGCTATTTCGGCAGCTCTGCCAGCTGTAGCAGTCGCAAAGGTGAACACGACTACCTGGAACACACGAGGGAATAAGGATCATTGTATCTAACCTTGGAAACGAGATGTTGCAAATAAGTTACCTTGTAAGCTTGTGTGTGACGACGTTTATTGCGAAAACTTGAACGGGAAACGAAAAGGGGGATATGAACATGTTGTGAATTTCATTTATTTATTCAACTTTCATTGTAATGTGTCATGGAATGGGTGGAAAACAGTGACCAAGCTCAGCTACAAAATGACTTAAGGCACAAAGTTTTTAAAAGGATCAACAATGATTGAGGGATACTTCAAGACTGAATCAAACAATAAGGAATTATTTCAAGGAATTCGAAGAACTTCCCTAAATATAACCAAAGACACTTACTAACAGCAGGCAGTAAGGCATTATGACAGCCAGGGTTAAGATCATGTACGTGTATGTACGGCAATAGGAAGACAATACTTTCGAAGCAGCACTTCAGGCCACCTATGCTTACTCAAGATGGTTTGTCAATGTGCCACTGACAAAACATATGCAACAAATATGATGTCGTCAGGCTGTGATAAATTATATCAGGATGTCGACATCCAATTTTCACGATGTCGTCATCCCATGAAAATTATCTGAGGATGTTGTCGACCACCTTCACGATGTCGTCATCTCATGATATATTATCTCAGGATCTTGTCATCTCCATTCGAGGGTCTTCATCCCGCGATAAAATATGTCAGGATCTCAACAAGTCGGATGGCACTTCCACAGATCCGTAGTTTTATACTAAGTGTCGAGTTCCTAATTTAAACTCAAATTTACGAGTCTCATCAGAACAAACATTTCGAGAACGTGGTTGATATTGTACGTTGTGCAGTATATCCAAAAACATTCGATACAGTTTTATTCCAACAAAGCAACAGAGACTTTCAAATTCACTCTGCACTCTATTCTAAATTAGCTGGAACAATCGAATAAAACACGCAGCCCCGAACCGAGCTTATCATCAACAGTCGTAATTCTTCAGCGCCTGCCTGTCAATCATCCTGTCAGGCAGAGTGGAAAGTCATTAAATTAGGGACAAGAGTAAACAAGGAACCTACGGAGGGAATTAAGGCAATTAAGGTAACAAAAAGAAAGAAAAGCGAGAGATCTTTCTTAGTTTTAGTGCATTTGCTGGGTTGACACAAGTCCTACCTTTTTGAAGGAGGGTTTAATCTTATTTTTTGAAGTTGTCTCTGAAGAAATCCAAATGTATTGAGTGTGTCCACATCTGGTTACATCATGCTATACCTCCCCTTAATACTAACAAAGGGTAGGCTAAATCTCTTGCAAGCTACTAAAATGTTTCCGGGGTTACTTTTTAAGCCACTCAACTTGTTTAGTTTCTATGTTGAACCGTTTGCAGGTAACGAGATCGAGGAATATATCGGGCCTGGACTAACCATACTATCACTAACAATCACCTCATTGATAATTTATTCATTAGCTTAATGTCACAGTCACACAGGCAAACAAAAATCAAATGAAGTTGCAACATCCCCACGTGGCTGCTTTGTAGTGAGTGATGCGTGTACTAGCACGTATGTGCATTAAGGTAAACAACATTGTGGTATTTCCCCTGAAATTGTCATTGTTCGTTTCACATTTAGAACGCAGATGTTGCAACTTGCTAAATGATGAACATGACTAATAGGCGCCTTGCTTCTCCACAGCTCTGATTGTATGTACATGTACCTTTTTCCTTTTGATCGAAGCTTGCATCATCCTTTAAAACGGTGTCATTGATATATGATCCTGTCATTAGTTCAGTTTTGTTTCTTCTGATGAGACTCGTAAACTCGAGTTTAAAATAGCAACTCGACACTTAGTATAACTACAAATCCTCTTTCCTCCATGCTCCCACGCCTCTAAAGTCTGAATTTTTGGACCTATGAGGCGTTGGAATTATGAGGCGTCGGACTTACGAGCCGACCCCAGAGCCTCCATGGTCAAAATTGTGCTGCCTCACCACCGGGGTTAGCTCGGAAGTCTGATGCCTCATACTAATTCCCACGCCTCATAAGTCCGAAAAAGGGTTTAAAAAGTCCATAAGTGCGACGCCTCATAAGTCCATCGCCTTATAAGTCGGACGCCTCACAGGTCTGACGCTTCATAAGTCCGACAAATGCGTTGAAAAGTTCCAACGGTTTTTTCGAGGCCCGTGGCACAGATCCAACGCTTCAAAAAATCCGACGCCTCGAAAGTCCGACGTTTGATTTCACGCTCGTTCCGAGCGTACTTACATGTACATGTATATGAAGACGGCGCTAGGAACAAGACTGGTTCCTCGTATCAAGTATGGTGTACTATTTATGACGCATACAAACATTTTTAAGATTTCAAAAGTATTACTTTGGAAAAACATGCACTTTATTGGAATCTAGAATGGTACAAAATCGTTTGAACAAGGACATCGCTACAGAAACTGATTTTCAGGGATTTGTTTCTATTTGGGGTGCGTCGTCGGCTCCTGAAATCAAGACCGCCTATGGGCCAAATCATTCGGGGCGCTCATTAAGTGTGCCTGGGCGTCCTCCCTACACACTCTTTTGTTGAAAAATGCACTTTTCTAGAATCTAGAAATGTACAAAATCGTTTGGAAATGGACATCAGCCCAAAAAGTGATTTTCAGGGTTTTGTTCCTAATCAGGTGCTTCGGCTTCTGAAATCAATTGGACTGAGACCGCCTTTGGGCCGAAAAGGGGGCGCTTATGTGCCTGGGCCGACTCTGACTTTTCCATTAACGTTCCTTATGTTTGATCTTACCCCGAAATCAAAGATCGTATAGCGATTGAAATTATCAATAAAGAGGTTTTATTTCCAGTCGCTGTGGCGCGTTGTGAGAATTGATGCCTACGCGTATTTGCTAAATAAAACGATTTTCGCGTTTTCTTGTCTGATAATTTCGAAATAAAGCGTATTGTAGTATCATTCAATCATATTTATGTATTTATTAAAAGTTTTATTTTCGTGTGTGATTTTTTATGCTGTAGAAAATGAAATAAATCTTGAATCTTGAAATAGATTTCGGCACTCTTTTAAATCCCATGCTTCTTCTTTACAAACCATCGAGTTCATGTACCGCGAAATTCCTGATTAAAAGAAAACTTGATGCAAATTGTCAATCAGTCCGGGAAGGCATTATTTTGGGACCACCTCTGGCCGGAAATTATGTCTGTACCACGGACGTATATAAAAAAAAACCTGGACTTGCAACGCCTTTGTATGAAAAAGAAGCCAACCAGCGGCCATCATGATTTTACCGAGCCGAATACAAACGCGTGGGATGGCTCCCTACTATTGACGTCAGGAAGAACAAAGGCGGGCATTACCAGGAAAGCTTTGTATTCGGCTCGGTAAAATGGCTGCGAGTGGATTCAATGACTCTATAAGCTGATTAAGGGCATTGCGAGTCCAGATTTTATTATACACCGTTACACGTCCGTGGTCTGTACTCGATCTGAAAGCGCCCCCATCCATTTTGCACGAAGGCCGAATGTTTTATTTGTTCGTGTTCCAGTCTGTGTTTCCTGTTGGTGAAATTAAAGAACCAAATTCTCAATTGTCTCCTTTGTTTTATAGCTAAGATACATGCCAAGGAAGGATTTATTTAAACCTTTTCCCTCTGTATTTTGTTGTTTGCTGTATTCTGTAGTTTACGAGCTCTTGCTACTATGCTGTGATCGGCCTCCGTAGAATTTATGGCCGGTTAATTAATTACGTGAACGTATATTTGCAGCCGTAGAAATAGCGTCTTGCCCGAAAATCGGCAAGCTGAAAATTGAGCCCGCAATTCGTGCCAGCTTCAACCTGGTTAATGCCAAATTTAGCACGACCGCTTGTATTGAACTTGAAAAAGAAATTGCTAAGATGTCTGCCAGCCCGGCGATGCTTCGATCGCGATATGTATTGTCAACTGACATCTCAAGTGAGCACCATGAACACGAAGTTGCTGGACATAGCCAGCATGATACATCAACCCAAGACAGTGTTCAGTTGGCAAACCCACTTTCAAGAAAACTGAATAAAATACTTGATATAAGGCTTGAAAACGACAAGGTAGGCCACTAAAATTTCCTTCATTAACAATTCTGGCAGCTGCCTAGTATTTTTGTACCCTACACTACAGTCCTACAGGTTTACAGTCACTTCGCCCCATTTCCACATCGCCCCATGGGCAATTCCACGCCAACTGTGACATAAATGCCAAAATTCAAAATTGATTGTATAGTTTTTTTCTCCACCATGTTTGGTTAGGGGTATACCTATACTTAATTAATCTGAAAAGATTTTACCTCGGAATGTGCGTTTTACTAATTATATTGTTCTCTGAATATGGGAATGTCAAAATGCGACAAACGGTAGACGTATCAAAAAATAATGAAGAAAATAAAGAATGTCCTAAAAATTCTTCATTTATCTCTTTAAAAGGGGCGTGGGATTGTTATTTGAGATATTGGGTATAAGAAAGCAAGCTTCAGATAAATGGAAAAAGAACAAAATTATATCTCATCAGCGAAGTCCAATATGCGTAATTGGGCCTAACTTCCGGTGCCATTTTTCCACTGAACTGTGTAATGTCCGTAACAATGTATGCACTCTTTTTAGCTACAATGAAATAAATTGACTGACTTTCATCATACCACATATTTACCGCCAACTTGCCATGGGTTAACTTATAGAGTAAGACTGTTTTAATTATGATAATTAGAAATAGACTAACACGCTTTACAGATGTTACATAAATTGTTACGGATGTTACGTTACGGATGTTACAGCTTTACTTAAGACACTACAGAACTTTATTTTTATTTACCACCTACACTGTATGTAAGATATCACCCACTTTACAAATGCTACACCCTGGAAGTGCCTACAGCATAACTCATGACCCTGAGGTCACAAGGTCATGTGGTCACTTCTCCTCAGGTTGCACGGAACCAATTCAAGCTCCATTGAAAATAGTGTAAAATCAACCAACTTTGGAGCCCCATGGCAGGCAACAGGTGAGGTTGCACTGATGGTTCCCTTGTATTAATAAACTGCTTGCCGAACCGCACCGCTTATGCTTCACGAGGAAGGTGAACTACACCCAGCCAATTACCGACTTGATTTCAAGTCTAGGCTGGGGCGTGCATTCGTGACGGTTGGCCTAGTGTACCTGCATGCAACTGCAAGCCTACTGTGGGGAAGCTGAAATTTAGATTTGTCTGGCCTGGTCATTTTTGCAGTACATGTATCTACATGTACATTGCAAGCCTTTGTATAATACATGTATGTCAGCAGGTGGACTTTAACCCTAACCCCCTAGTCCTTTTTACTAGGAATCATTTTGAATCCTATGAAATCCTCAGATTTTCAGTATGAAAACATTGCATTCAGCTAAAATCCTCCAAAATTTCTTGAAAATGTCATTTTGAGGTGTGCCTAACTGCCCAAATCCTTCAAAATCATGTGGCAAATCCTGTCATTATGTTAAGGCAATGCGAATGGCACTCTTGAGCTGTTTAGTTGATTCAAACATCAGGCTGAATTTGTGCTTGACTAAGCACAAACAACATAAGGTCAAATCCACGACCTTCATGTGTAGAATCCTTCAAAATCAGCCATGCACTTTTGCCATACACCCTGAATCCTCCAGATTCCTCCACTTAGCAGAAAAGGATTTTGGAGGATTTGGGAGGGTTAGGGTTAAAAAACAGTCTGACAAAACCTGGTCGAAATTTTATCTGCGGGGCGAGATGCTTTCCCCGGGGCAAGCAGGTGAGTGGGAAACGGGTCGGGGGGTGAGTTCGCCCTGGGGTGAACAATGGCACAAGGGTCACTATGAGCACAGGCTAATCGGAAAATTTGCATACAAACCACAACGAGAGCAGAACATACCCTGTAATCAAGTGACACAGGCATGAGTTGTCATTTCGATTCTTTAGAAAATGTCTTCTTTAGAACCTTATGTTTATCCCCTTCTTTGGTTCAGCTGTCTGTCACGTCGTCTCCTATCGCTTATCCCAATCCATCAACTGACATTCAAATGCATTTACATTTGTCTTGCTCGCAATTGAGGCATGTTACTTGACTCGCATCTCACTTCATAAATCGGATTTAAGGTTTCACTATAGAGAGGTTTTCTACAGAAAATTTGAGTGGATTTCATGCTATTGCCTTCAGTGAACTAAAGGAAAGATGTATTGCCATGACGAAGGCCTACATGTTCCATTTTTACGTCAGTCCAATTTCTATATAAAGTTCCTGCTAAAAATGTGGTGATCTGGAGGTGAGAATTTCAAGTGGGAAATGTAGCAGATTTTCACCCCCTCATCACCCCAGGGCCACCCCCGAGATATGGTCCAGTTGGAAAAGGCCTTAAGAGCTCAGTCTCCCTAATACTGTAACATGTTGCCACCATTGGTTAACAAAGTGGATATTTTGGAGTCCATATATTCTATTGTCCTATTGATAATTTCCAAGGGAATGGAACATATGGAACATGGTTGCAATGACTCGGGCTTGAAACTTTTGATAGTTCTGGGAATAAAACGTGATGTGTGATGGCATCCTTCTTTTGTTTCTCTCCAACAAGTTTGAAAATGTTTTCGATGGGATTCAAGTTAAGGCTCCTCGGAGGAATAGGCATCAGTTCTGCAGTTTGTATCCTGTCTCAGGTCAATCAGATCAAAGAAAGTGTGAAAGTCCAAAAGAAAAGCACCTTTAGTAGCGGTATGAAGTAACTGGTCATCATCTGAAATGAGGTGATCGCATCATCATGACATCACTGCAGTCTTCATTGACATATAGAGCATCATAATTTGTGTCTGTGCCAAGTTTCAATGGAATTGGACAAACATGTATCATTCTGTAAATAGAGGCCTGCAAAGAAAGATGACGTCATTATTTTGCATAGCTCAGAGGTCCAGTTTTTAATTATGTTCCAGTCACATCTGACATGTTTTTTGTAAGTTCAGGACACATTCTGTAATTTCCAAGGAAGATGAATTGATGCAAATTACCTTCCAAACAAATAAAAATACTTGTACATTTAGTTTGAAATCAATTTCATTAATATGTTCCATGTCAAATTACACTGTTTAGGTATAACAGGGACATAAAATGTCACACTTGGACCCTGAATTATAGAATGACCTACATTGCATAACACATCTTCACAGACTATCCTTCAGTTCATGTCCTTGGGTGGTGGTTTAGATACATTTACACATGTACATGTATGACAATTTTAAGGTGATCACACTTACATGTATAACGTTTTGAACAAAAAAGCATTCTAACCCTCATTCTGCCAGCAGGTAAAGTAATGTGTATAATGGGGCAGTGACTTTGGTCATTTAAAACACAATTTGCACCAAGTTTTAAGTCAAATATTTGTACGTGTACAAGATCACTTGATTCCAAAACTTCTCTCAGCAACAAAGAAAATTTAGTATACAGTACAGTTGAACCTTGTTAATAAGAGCACTGTTAATACAAGATTCTGCTTGAATAACAAGGAAAATTTTAGGTCCTAATCCTCCGGTCTCTGGCCGAAATAGATACTGTTTTTCTTACATGTTTTTTTCTTTTTATTTTATTTTCTTAAATTTCATTTCTTCTTCTTTTTCAAATTTTTCCTATTGACATAACACAGGGTCGTTCTATACACCACTTTTGATCGGGCCGATTTACCTCAAACCTGGCACATTGTTAGACTACCACCCAAGGATGTATGCCGAATCATGACATCATCATGATGACATCACCTGATTTATTATAGAATTTTGAATATTTAATTTTTCCCCACATGTTTGTACACGTTTTTCAACTGCCAGAATGGCATGCTCTTTGGCCACTCCACAAAAGAAACTTGGTCCAAGCAAAGACCATACAGCATAGAGGGCCATAGAGGAATGACGTCAGTTTGACCTCATAATTAGATTTATCATTTAATTTTGAAGATTTAATTTCTTCCATTGACTTTGTACACATTTTGAAACCCATTGACTTTGTACATACACCCTGTACGCGATCGGTCGATGCATGGAGCATTATGGCCGATGTGAGCATTGTCGCACAGTCTTAATGCAGGAAGACCTAAATAATTTGGCTAGAAGGTTGTGAAAAAAATCGTGCAAAATATATCGAGGGGAATGAACTCTGAGATTTCATGTTTCAGGCCTCAACCAATTTTGATTCTCGACATAAATCATCCGTGCTTGTTTTATTCCTCCATGGTGCATGTTTAGACCATTTGCGTGGTCTCGCGTCAATACATGGATTTGATACGGACAATAATTTAGACGGGCCCATGTGTTCAGGATCTCTTGGGACTTCCCGGACCCAAAAATATACCGATTGAGTTCTTACATGTCTGAATGGATTTTTCTTGATTGGAAGATTCGAAAGGTAATTCTATGAAAGCTGAACTGAAACCAAATTCATGCAAATTGCTGGAGTTGTTGACACCTAATAAGCATGCATGATCACAGTGATCGTTGGCAAGGGTGCACCGAGCCCAACAGCTACACGTAGTGCGGCGGGCAGCTGGGTTTGGAAGCTGGATGGATGAAGTGCTGGAACTGGGTCTGGTAGGCAAAGGTATATGTATTACAAAACATTCTCAATTGCAAGTTTTTGTCTGCACTTTCTGTGCTAAGTCTGGACAGTGATGTTAGGGGAAGAAAGCTCACTCAAATTAGCTCTGAATTTGCTCTGACATACACGTACATGACATATCCCAAGAAAGTTGAACTCTACAAATGGCCTTTTTAAAATTTCAATATGCACACCTTAGCTTACATGTATGTCCAAATGATGAACAATGAAAAAGGCGATTAACAGTGATTAGTAAGTCCTACGTGTTCAGCACAATCCAGTGATCAACTTGCACATATTCATTAACTCCCTCCTGTGTACATTATCCAATGGTTTTAGAGTGATGGATTTTATTCAAAGGCATGTCAAATCAGGATGGAGCACATATGCAATACTTGTACATGTACATACTGTACATGTACATGTGCAAGTTTTACAATTGCGCTGAATGTAGAAATCGAACTGACTAAAGTCCCTCACGGTCCATACCGTATTTCATAACTATGCCCCCGAGAACAAACCTTGTCATTACGGGTTTACGATACATATGTAAATATCCAAAAATGTATGAATTCGAAATCAAATGTAGACCTATGATTCTTTATACATGTCAATTAACGTAGCGTAAGCTGATTACACGGAATAATTGAATATCTTTGTTTTCTTTCTTGTGTATACATGTAGGTGTCCTTTTTACTACTGCTGGAGTGAAAGCTACAGATAAATCTGTTCTCCATGTTAGTTCTTAGCATTGGAATTCAACGTACATGTACATGTAACTACAGTTACTTGTAGATGTCAGAGGCATGGGTACCAGTGATAAAGGAAGCTGCTGTAGAACAAAGCAAGGAAATTAACAGGTGATGGTGAAAATGCCTACTGTTGCATTGACATACAGACAGATTGCCAGTTCTGATTAATGCAGTCATGAATTAAAGTTTGTGTGTACAATGTATGTGCGTGGGAGGGGGGGTACATCCATGTACCACCATCATAAATGGTTCATCCATCGACATCCATGCGCATGGTCCTCCACTTAAACATTCAGGTCTCCTGTACCCCCCATTTAGTGAGAACACAACGTTGCTATGCCAATGAACATATGTGCACATGTACGCTATATTTGTGTTCAAGTTTTGACACAAGTTTTCCCATGCATCAACACATGAACTGCTGCACTTGTAATAAATGTTTTTCTTTTGCAATGATACACATGTTCATCAGCACAGACATGAGGACGGTCTTCACACGTTTTGGATGTCCCCGTTATGATTGAGTGCAGTCAAAGCAGGACTGATCCTGAAAAGGATAAGAACAGCTTTATAAAACTACTTGTAGCAAGACTGCAACCATCAGGAAGTGAGATTTACTTGTATGTATACTTGTAACAGCTAACATTTATTGAAAGACAACTGCAGAAATTGTTCAAACTGGTTTCAGAAGAATAGTGCAAAGTTATCAGCCTTTAAAACATCCCAAAGTTTTCAATTGGTCCCCATGTCATTTGAAGTCTCTGCAAATCTTCAGAACAGAAAGGAGTTGGCGGTTTTTGTATGATACACTTCACAAAAATGTATACCCCAAATCATAAAAGTAGATTTTTCTTTCATCTTTTCAAAACACTCCAAGTGCATATTTCATTGTTATTCCCCCCAACAAACCCATAGTATTACTGGTTCATGGTTTTTTATGATTTACTTGTTGATATAAGCTGAATGTTCCAATTTCCTTATCTGTTTCTTGTATATGGGCATCCTTTATGCTGCTGCTGAAGTGAAAGCCACAGATCTCCATTTTAGGAATTCAATGTCGTTGCAGTTACATGTAGATCAGATGCACAGCTACCAGTGATAAGGGAAGCTGCTGTAGGCCTACAACGAAGCAAGGAAATTCACAGGTAATGGTGAAAAGGCCTACTGTTGAACTGACATACAAACAGACTGCCAGTTCTGATTAATGCAGTCATGAAGCAAAGAGAGGAGGGGGACCCATGCATGTACTAATGTAAATCACTCATTGATCAACATCCATGTGTCCAGTCCCCCATTGTAGCCATTGAGGAATAAGAACGAGTTCCTACTCATAGCCAAGTGATATCAAAAGTGTTGAAAGTTCCTACACCTTTTTTCCATGCATCAACATGTAACTGACACACAATGAATTAATATTTTCCTTTTTTTTCTAGATGACACTGAAAAATGTTTACCAGCACATACATGAAGGAAGTCTTTCACCAAGTAGGTGTTGTCGATGGAAATGCAATTCGTACCAAGACTGTTCTACAGAAGGACTTCATCAAAATAACATGATCATCTGCAACAAACAGCAACCACTAGGACATGAGATAGATGTATCTGTACATGTCCCTGGCCTATTTTGTTCAAGATTTCTGCAGAAAATGTGAACACAGGTTTTGGAGCATTATGCAAAGTTTCAACGGTCACAAGTTGCTGATATTTTAAAACTCTTCCCATGTTTCTTAACTATCTAGGGCATAAAAAAATTACCGGTATTTATATAATGTACAATAGTGAAATGCCCTAAGGCAGTTTTTCCCTTTTCTTTTATAAATATTAAGGACACTTTAACATTCTGTAACATAACTTGAACAAGGCCGCTTTCATTGTTCAATATTTTGAGTATACATGTATTTCTTAACATACACTTAATCTGAGTTTGTGGTGCTGTGCTCGCAAATACAGTTGTTAAAAGTAATAATTTGTCCAGTTACTGTTGATATGAAATAAGTACTTTTGAAAGAATTGTGTGAAATTGCTGTTTGCATTATTTTTCTTCTGTCTTTGGAATCGACGTCTCTTAGTTTGTGTATACCGATGGCTCTAACAGTCCCATATCCTCTGGTGTTAAGATGATTTTACATCGTCACGGTTACAAAGCCGTACACCCTATTGCAGAGATTCTTCCCGGCAATCAAACCCCTTACAAGAAAACTGAAGTGCGCCCTTACTTGATGCTATTCCACGTCTTGTGTTACCTGACTGATAATTTCCCTACATTCAATCATATTTTCGCCAGGGATAAGGCAAGAAAGTACGCAGTGATTGAATTAATCATTAGCATTTGAAATAACTATTCATTGTTCGTTGCAACTGATAGTCTAATAACAAGTTTGTGAAGTCCGTTGTCAGTAGCCCTATACACGTATCTCCTGAATAACAAATACACATATTCCATCGGAATGAAATTTTGCAGATAATTAGAAAAGCGAAATGTTATAGTCGAACCTTGAACTCGTTATGATCTCATGATCATCAGGTGACAATTCACGTGACATTAATACATAAAGATAAGGTGCTTGCAGACGAAAGTGCATCCAGCTCATCCCATAGTCTGTTTGCTGGCCGTGCCAAACAGAAACTGGAGACTGTCCTCAAGAAAGCTGACTGAGCCTCCAGATTTGATGTGTGTGCCACATCCTTCATGCTCCTGCTGTCTGAATATCTTGGCAGGGGCTGCGAGGTTGGCACTACCATTACCACTGATATACTGTTTAGGACCTTTTACTGTCTCGACAATTTGCGTACACAACACTCATGACTTCCTGTCGATGGAGCAACACTTTATGTGCCTTCTTTCTTCAGTCTGAAGGAGCCAGAAAGCATCTTGAAGCTCTCCCCTTGACGCTATGAACTTTCAACACCGTGAAAATGCAGTTTCACCATTAAATCACCGTGAAATTTTTTTCAAGGCAATGTAAGCCCGTTTTCACGGCGGAAGGTTGGTCAGTTTGGGAGCGGATTAGCTCACGGCAGTTTCACAGCGTTTTCACGTCAACTTCTTGGTAGCTTGTGGTCCTATTGTTATTTATAACGGTACACCGGTTCAGCTTCCCACCATGGAAGGTGTGAAAACAGCAGATTAACTGTCGACGTGTACTAAAAGAGTAATGTGATAGATAGCCAGGAATTAGCGCATCAGTTACCAACAAAATGAGCGATTGAATACCCCCGTTTAGGTCTGGAGTGTAAACTCCTCGCTCATGAACTCAACGGACTGTACCGTAGCAAGATCCGCTGTCGGCCCTTGACACTCATGCCACATGTAAACACGTAGCTAGCACGCGGCACGACTGTTCATTGTACGGTCGAATGTTGTCCATATGGCTCATTCTCTTGCAAATGACCTGAGTAGATGTTGGCTGGTATCATTTTCTAACAGTGCCAGTTTACATATATTCTTTGCCAGTTTATATATATTCCTTCGCATGGTGCAACCGCAAGCTTTTCCACCTATTGCTGTCTTTCACCATGAATAGCCTGAAATTCCATCCAATGCCTGTTTAACGTTATCTCCCACGGACACCAATGAAAACCGTAGTGAGGTCATGTCGTGCCTCGGGCTGATCAAGCAACATACATGTAACCTCGAATTAAATTTGTGAACACAAAAAGATAGATACATTTTGTATATCCAACTAATCAAGTTCTGGGAAGTACACGTACATGTAACTTGTACTTCCTGTGACATCATTTTTCTATGTGCAGCCACATAGAGTTTTGTGTGGGTGTATGGTGAATTGCACAATCCTATTTTAATGCATGGGCTGGTTGCTGCGTTACCATCACACCTTTTTGGCAGTGGCGCGGCGCAGCGGGAACCAGCGGAAACCTTGCTTCCATGCATCAAGCAATATTGCGCGCCTGTTTTCACCACTGCAATAGCGAAATGCAAAGGGAACTTGTGAAAACCACAAAACTTTCTTTCCACATGTTGGGAATGTAAAGCAGGTGTTTTGTGAAGACGGGATCCTGTCTTTCCTGGGAAAGACAGGATTTATTTTTCCATTTTTGAGTTGTGAGAAGAGATGGATACACGTACGATGGCTTAATTTCCTGGATGCAGCTGAAAAATTCTGTATATTTCCAACTTTTGTGGGCAAAACTAACTTTTGTGATTATTCACTCTACAGCCAGGGCAGAATGTTGAATCGACCTTTTCAGCCCTAAAGTGTGACACGATTTAGGTAATCAAGATCATGCAGTGCATGTATCTGTAATGCATCAGATTTAACGGAAGTCTTACGGTTTTGAAAAGACCAATGCTTACCTTCGATTTGATACCAAAATTTCAATTCTCGAGAAGAATTAATGTTACTTTGTTTACACTGGAGGTGAGGGCCCACATAAATCATAACTTCCAAGTTTGAGCTCGCAGAAAATAATGTTTTCATGAAATATCAAATAAAGTAGGCATATGAAATTAAAAATGAGTTTGCAGGGCAGGAAGATAAAATGCATAATACACAATGAAACTGTCCAGTTACACAATGTGCATGTATTTCCAAATATTGAATTATGATATTGTCAGACTAATGAAATGGTGAAAATGACCACCTCAGCGATGAAATAGATTAATTGAAAGTAGAAAATGGCACATGGAGTGTTGAAGTTACCACACCGAATCATAGAATTGCCGAAAGACTGTGAAACTGTATACAAAGTGTTGGAATTAACAAAGCCAACAATGTTAGCATCAGAGCGAGCAAGGATAGCAACGGTGTGTACATTGTTTTCCGATCCAGCACGCGCAGGGTACATGTGACATCGTGCATCATGGACAGGGTTTGCGCGTAACTTTTGTTTTCACTTGCCAGCCGGACCAGTAGTGATGGCTTTTTACTAGTCCATGAGCAGCATTTTCACTAGTCCGCGTCTTCCCCCAAATTTCAACATTCTTTTTGGCACTAGTGTTTTCTGCTCCAACATCATGCATAACAGTGTGCACTCGGTGCTGACTGTTTAATTGTTGATGAGTAATCATAAATGGCCATGGGAATTGTAAATTTCCAGAATATTCATGAGTATAACTCTACTCAAGCAAATTAAACACACAAAGTGGTTACCTGCTGAAATGGTTTATTTGATTCACAATCGGAGACAGAAAAAAACAAATCTTTATGAACAGTTTATGTACATGTATGTTTTATGCAGTATGCACATGTACACGCACATACATGTATGTACAAGTGCATGTACATGTACGCCGCGCCCGACAAAATGTACAAAGTATGTACATACACTACATGTTCGTTCTCGACTGTGTCCAGTACCCTTGAGGTGCATTCCACCAAATGGTTGTGCGGGGATTTTACAATAAGACACGCCATCATCAGGAGGGATCATAAAAATATTTCTATAAATCCCAAATTAGGGACTGATAATTTCCAGTTCGGGGTATTTCTTTCAAAAGTAGCAGGCGGCTACATTCAGAGCTGAGCGCCAAGTGTTACTACTATTTTGGAGGTACATGTATCTTCGGGGAAAGGCAAATGAAAAAGAATCATGGCAAACCCCCATAAAATTGAAATGAAAAATGATCTTCTGGCCACAATCTTGAATTTCCAGTGAAAAAAACGGAGGCCAACCTCTTTCCAAGAGTCAACAGGGAGCGCTGTTTCGGTCTGATTTTGCAATGTTTTCTACGGGCGTGTATTTGGTGTAGCGCAACCCATAGCGTGCGAACCCAACACAAAATCACAGCCGTGACATTGCTAGTGTAACAAGTACCAGTGACCAATCAGAAAAATCAGTACTGCATAGTCATAGTAACGTAATGCGTATACACACACTGTACACACTCAGTACGTCATACACGTGGGATGCATATTCATGACTTCCGTGTACCTCTACGATGCAGTGCATGAAAGCACGTGCTGATTTAGATCTTGTACGCACAACCATTGTCAAGTCATGGCGTTGTCCAGTCGCACCGGCCACATGCAGTAGTGCTGTACAGTAAACAGCCCTCGATGACGCTGCAAAGGCATTGCGGAGCAGAAGTTTCATACAATTTACTTTACTTCCAAAAGACAAAACCTTGCAAATTGAAGCCTCTCCGGTCTCTTTCTGGCCACCCTGCAAGGTCCTCCCAAGCCAGGCCTTTTTGCTGTTGCGTTTCCGCTTCAGTCAATACAGAAACAATGGCACATACCTCTGACCAATGCAGCTGCTCCAAAAATCAAGTTACACTGTTTTGCCTTGAGAGGGCCTAGTTCTCAGGGGGTTGGCACCGCTGACTTTCCAGAGCCTTGGTGACCCCTACTCCTGGACCCGTGGGCAGCTGCCTTCCGTGTTTCCAGAGGTCCTGGTACCGGACCGTCTCCAACCGGTGGGTGTTCCAATTCAGTTCCGCAACCTTCTGGAATTCACAAGCATCCCCTTCCCCCATCAGACACCATCATTTATCAAACCAAAATCACAACCCACCCGGCAAAACACCCAGCCTTGGAAGTAGAAATCGAGTCCCTCTTCACCAAGACTGCAACTCATATAGTTCCATCGGGAGACAGATCGTCAGGTTTCCTGTCAACCTTTTCTGACACTCAAAAGGGACATCACAGCATGGCGGCCTATCCTAAACCTAAAACCACGCAATGCGATCCTCGATTCAATCCAGATACGATCTTGGGCCACATCCTTCAGTCTCAAAGATGCATATCTTCATGTGCGCATTCATCCTCAACATTACCAGTTCCTTAGATTCCAAAAGAAGGGAGTGACATATGAATTCACAGTACTCCCTTTCGGTCTGTTAACTTCTCGTTGGGTCTTTACATGAATTGTAAAGGCCGTGGGGGCAGTGCTTCACAGGAACAATGTCGCAGTTTTCCAATATCTCGAGGACTGGCATGCACGAAAACGAAAGCCAACGATGCCCTCCAGGAAACACTGACCATGACCACACAATTGGGGTTCCATGTCAACATGAAGAAATCAAATCTAATCCCCACGCAGACAAATGTTTCACGCTGTGTTCACAAAAGATGCACACTGTTTTTACACGATTTTGCACTGTTTTCACACCTCATTCGCCCCTTTTGCATCCGATTTGCTGCAAATTCTCAAGGGGGAAAAGTTGTGGTCAAAATGCAAAATGCGAATGTGGATTCCTTTCGCTTTATTTCCCATTCCTTTTCACAGCGCTAACTTTCAAATGCAACGTACTGTAACCTTGGAACCATCCCATGAAAATTATTTTTCCCAAATAATCTTCCCCATAATTATAAAATATACAGACACAAGATGAACACCAGAAAAATTTTTCTCACATTGCTTCTTCTCTTGATGACTTGTCATTTCTTTTTTTTGTTTTCTTATATCTTTAATTCTATGTACACTTTCTACACCCTTACATTAAAAAAAGGGGGGGGGAAAGGAGAGTAGTTGCATTACACAATGTCTTGAATTTAGAGAAAACTTTTGTAAAAAACGTAGCCGATAAAGGAAAGAAAATGTCCTGTGCATGCATAAGTAATTGATTCAAGTAAAATAAACCTTGAAGGAGTTGCCCTAAAATTTCATGTACTATTTCATTTACAATATCTTGGAATAAAGGAAACTTGGCCTAAATAAGCAATTGATTCAAGTGTGATAAACTTGAAACAAAGAGCAGCGCAAAGTGGAACTTCCCACATTTCTCTCATAAATTTAGTCTCTTTTCTTTTACCATTTCTAGAACAAACATCACACCAGCTGTATGTCAGTACCACCAATTTCCTTACACACAAGATAAGAGTTTACAAGAGCAACATCAAGCAAAAATAAGAACACTTTTTTTATACCATTTGCTTGATTTCCTGACTGAACGGTGTGATGATGCCAGCTGGTCTGCAATGTCCACACCCTTCATCCCCATGTTGTTGTCGAGTACACACTTGGGTTTCTCCAAAGTGATGCCATCATGGTTCCGCTTGCCAGTGTTGGTCATCTCGGCTGTATGCATCCTGGACAACATACGGACATCTTTTTTGTCTCGCCAGACCAAGGCGAGCAAGCCTTTGTCGCTGGAGAGGTGAACAACATCACCTCTCTCGAGTTTCAAGGAGAACAAGTCCTTGGGCATGTCTTGACGATTTTGTCATATCGTCCTGATGACGTTCATCTTCTGGTCATGTAGTTTCAGGTACAGATCTGGGCTGCTGAACCAGCTGTCCAGGAAAATGGTGTACCCTTTGCCAAGAAGATCGGCATTCAAGTCAAGTACGATTTTCGTACTTGCCAATTCAACAGTCTGGTCTTGACAGGTGTAAACCTTGAAGTTCCAGGTGTATCCAACGGCAACTCCCGTGCTGTGGTAGACTCGATACTTCTTTGGGTTGTACTGCTTGAACTTCAGTCTCCCTTTGAATTTCCAAAGGGACTCATCAGTAGTAATCTTGCTAGACGGAATGTAGATGGACTTGAACTTCTCGGCCAGTTCTTCTACCACCGTGCAGAGATTGTATAGTCGATTGGTCGCCTCTGCACGGCTGTTATTGACGAAATGCAGATAGGACAGCAAGTCCATAAATCTGTCGCATGGCATGGTGTCAGGAAAAAATGGAGTCTCAAGTATTGAGTCTTTCGTCCAGTGGACTTCAAGTTGAGTTTCGGCGTCAGTTCCATGATGATAGTCATGGACAGGAACACTGACATCTCGTCTGGTGTTGTGTCAAACTAGCTTCGCGTGTGACTTGGACTTGCATCTGATTGACTTTTCGGGTGTTCAGCGGCATAGCGGTTGTCTTGTTGGCAATGTGCAACGTCAGCTCTGGGGTGAAGAACTGCTTGAAGATATCGAGAGGAGTGCTGTTCTCGTCTAGTTCTTCAACTTGAACACCTGCTGTGCCTTGAAAGCTGTGTTGGCAGGAGAAGTTGCCATCAGCCTTCCATTGAATGGACGAAGTCTTGGCCTTCTTGGGAGGCCTCGCTAATGGTGGTTGCCTGTTAGAATCGCTGTCACTAGTTTCAATTTCTGAACTATGTTCAGATTCCGATGTGAAAGCTGAACCACTAGTCACCGTCAAAGTTCTCTTCACTTGAAGACATCGTGTAATGCAGCTGAAGGGCCGGGAAGTGGCCAAGCAAATATATACCCAGCTAGGGTGCTGCCCACGTGTTCCCAGCCCAGCAGGACAGTAAACAATGGCATGCACACCATGTCAATGGCCTGTATTCATCGTTCGTGCTCCGCACCTCAAGCGATGCTCCACGGAGATTACCCAGGGTATTCAATCAAAGACAGTGGGGTGTCCTGACGAAAAAAAGTCTCATTTACAGAGTATCAGGGGATCAACCAACTCTCCAGGTTGCCCCAAATTTCCATTCAGTGCAAAGGTCTCATTAATTACAGATGTACACTGAATAACAGTTGCATGTGTGGTATGGTGCTACAGCAATCTCCTGGTAATAAGACTTTTCTCCAGGCGCGACTGTTGCCGTTTCCCGGCCGGAAGGGGTTAATAATCCAATCAGAACAACAATCAGTTCACCGTTGCCTAAGTAGTAATTTTACCCATACATGCCATATACAAATGAAATTGTCGTAGCATGTGATGTATGGACCGGATCATGTGTACATGTACTTGTTGAACATGTACAAACACATCGTAAATGGCCATGGACCATGTATAAACTGGTCATGGTAGGCACTAGGCATTCGTCCACAGTTGGCTCTCATATGTACCTGTAAATATAAACTCGAAACGACCATACATGTATGTCTGCTATCTTGTAAGCGGTACCACTGCCCGTGTCCATGCATGGAATCAGGTCCATGCATGGAACTGGCTGTGCGCTATTGCTTATCAAGTGAGAAGTTGAGAACCAGGACCCTCGCTGGAATAGCTGAAAAAAAAAAAAAACTTAAAAGAGAAAATTATGCAAGGTACATGACACAACAAGGTGAACATTATTCAGAATACAAGATCAGACAGTCCAGTGGCCTCTTTACTTGCGAATCGGGTTCTCTTGGCAGTTGGTGCACTCCCAGACATCTAAAATCAGCAGACGGTATGTGTTGTTGCTACTCACAATGAATACATGTATGTAAAGATGTGGTAAGTATTCACAGAAGATCAACAGTAAACATGCAACATACTGTATTCCTTGAGCATGACACTGCCAAATTCTCCCTTCATTCAATTTTGGTTGTGTATATTTATTCCAGTATTCTGCATACCAGCTGCCTCATAGCCATGCTGTTGTGTTCCATATAAGGCCAAAGAGATCATCAAGTGGACAAACAAAGCCACTTTTGATTGGATGGTGTGCTCTGAACGCCACACTATGTAACTGGAAAGCAGAAACTGCACTGCCACTGAAACTGCAAACACGTGCACCTTAACACACAGGCATTGTACCCTGTGCATGATGTACATGTATGTACATGTACAATGTCACTACACAAGGGTGTGGTAGGTACATGTACATGTAGGCTGGAGTGGTGACTTGGATTTAATGTTTGGAGTTGTCACTCACAGGCACGGTAGGCCTGCCTTAGGTGGACTTAGACTTGGATTTGATGTTTGGAATTGGCTCTTTGAAGGTGGAACCGCTGATGGTAGATATGCGGTTCTTCACAAAAGCGGAGCCGCTGATTCTGATTTTCTTTGGAACCGCGATTCCACTCAGAGCCTGAAGTGCCGCCCAAGCCGAATGGCTTATACTTGTATATTTTGTGGAACCTGCCATACCAGGATTAACTCCAATCAGACTAACAAATCTAAGTTTTTGACACTTGTTTGGGTCAGTAGGCACTGATATCAGATGTCTGTCAATCTAAGTGTTGACTGTCATTGGAATTTTCATTATCATTTACTGTAACTGCTCGAAGACTTTCATTTTCAGCGACTGTATTTGAACTTTACAAGTAACGAATGATAACCGTAAACTGTATATTTCAAGTAGAAAAACTGAATGTCCTACATGTAGCGGTACATATACATGTAAATGGTGCATTCATACATGTGAAAGAAGTTCTTGATGTGGTCCTACACTTTCTGTGATTTCATTTTCTTAATAACTAAATTATGATCTGTTTGTAGGATATTTTGGAAGCGTTAAAGGTATTGTCAGCATTTTTTGGCAAGAACACCTTGAGGAGCCGTCGGAATCTGCGTGGTGACATTGAACGACGAAGTCTTGCAATAAGTGAAGATTTTGCACAAGCATTCAAAAAAATGAAAGAGGTACAGTAATTTTGTTTTTCTTCTGTAAGAGTATAATTATTCAAAATCATTCATTGGTATTGTACAATTAGTTGGGTGCACATTGGCCATAGAGGATGGAATGGACACAGTGGACACTTTTTGCCTGTTGCCACAACTGCCACTGCGGAGATTTATTTCCAACAAACTGCTTTAGGTCTAATCACAAGCTCAGTTTACTAGTTCAGCAGTACATGTACAGTACAGTGTATTTCACTCATTGCTAATGTAGTAATAAACAATTACGGCTGACTCGCCTTTCCAACATGGTTAAAACTGACCGGCCTTAACTCCCAATAACATATCAAGTTTCATATACAGTAGATTCCCATTATACATGTAGTTTTCCCTAATACAATGCTCTTGCCGATGTAAAGCTCTTTTTTCATTTCCTCAACTGCACACTCATTCACTGTGTACATTTATCTGTGGTTATAGCTGCCCTGTTTATAACACTTTTGGGGATATAATGCTCACTATTTTAGACCCAGAGAACCATATTTAACATGTGAAATGATTCTGGTTACAATGCTCTTTTACCTTGGAAAGTCAGATTCTTTGAAAATTGACAAAACCGTACTGCGTGGCCACCGCAATTGGCTGTCCTCTGCGCCGGACACCAGCAGTACAAGCGATTCGACACGCACCCGGCCGTCCGTAAGCTTGACCCGAATACCCTCCATAGACTTGATGTCATGCACTGCAGGTGTGTTGTGCTGGACCTACATGTATAAGCATACAACATTACTATGGTTCATGTCTGCTAAGCTGTTCGCGAAACCCATTGCCATTAGTGGCTTGATTTCAAATCTAAAATGTACATATACGTTGCATGTTTTACAGTTTTACAGCATTGCAAAAATCAAACTAAAAGTGACAAGTACCCAGTAACTAGCCTCCATCACAAGTGCTGCATAGTTGTATATTCATTTTAATTTTGAGTCACCATCTTGTAAAAAATTACTGATTTCGCACTTCTCAGCCACACCATGCACTTGCGGCATTGGGTACTGCCTTGAATGAAGCCTAGAAGCTCACTTCCGCCCAGTGCAATCACGAGCACATGTTAACCATTGTGAGATTGCCAACTTGACACAAACTGGCATACAATGACATGTGTACTTGTGCTTTTCCTCAACGTTATTTGTAATGATGTTCAGAGAGATGGGTAAGGTTGACAAGTTTTCCCGATTCTTGATGTTCATACAAACAAGCAAAATATCCATCTGGATGTTAATTGTTATGCATTTAACAGCAAGAGAGATTTTTTAATCACAAGTCCAAGATGAATTGTAAGTTGGCTGAATACATGTATTAGCAGCTTGGGAAATGATATACATGTATGTACGCGTAGTTGTTTTTAAGAATTAAAAACGAACTCCACAAATTCCTTCATAATTTACTCGACTGTTTTATTTGAATCTTCAAAATTCACATATCTGTACTGCATGTAATTTTGTAGACCTTGCATCTCACATTTGCAACAAAATGAATTAATACTAAATGCCAAGTTCTAATCAACGCATGCAACCAGTTCTACACTTGTGTACAATTATACATGTACAATGCACATAATGCACATACACAACATAGATATCTGTTCATGTATGTGTACTATACATGTGCACTGTTCATGTTGCATGTCCAGTCTGTTGTACCGGTAGCGCTGTGCAGTAATATTATGCTCAATGCAATTCAGTCCCGTTGGGAGCGTTGTAACGTGAATCTACACTGTACATGTACTGTAGTGCATTAACCACTTCGTGCCGGGCTTTTTTCAACGTTGATGATGCTGGGCATAACTATCATTTTTTCCGTTTTCAAAATCCTTCAAAAATTCATCATTCCATTTAACAGTCGTTTATAGCTGAACGAAGTAATCTTTAGGCACTACTCTAAGTTGACAGGTGACCTTTATTGACGCCCGAGTATTTCAGCCAGGCCTGCAGCCTTTTAAACAGACCCCAGATTGTGCGGTGATATACAACTGTCTTTTGTTCACGAACCTGGCTCAGTGCACTGCTGACCTCTTTCCCATAGGGACCAGATTAGCGTGCAGCGGTGCGGTGTGGCTTATCGCTGCGGTGGTGGAGTGCTTTTGTCCCCGGTGGTAATCCGCTTGCTCTCAATGCCCCAAATCCTGGTGTACGGTTTCAAAATAATGCTGGACTATCACCACTTTTGATAGTGAAAAATGCCGGTAATGCCCAGCAGCCTGGTCTTTCGTTCGGAGTACGGTCTTTTGTTACAGGGCCCTGTTTCCTTTGTCCGAGTTCGGAGACCCCAGCCACCCATATAAACCATACGGCTCTGATTTCGGAGTCCCCGGCTGGTAGTGGTTAACTGCGATCATAGGAAGGACTTTACATTTGACAACATTCTCTTGTACATGTACATTACACATGACATCATGCATAAAAGTGATCAGCTTGTAGGAAAGTAAGTTACATGTAAGTATGATCAGTCCAATATGCTCGCTCTATCCTGTCAAAGGATGGTCTGCACATTGAGGCTAAAAACTGCAATAAGGAGGTGGTAAGAAGATGCCAAACTAACCTGTTATAAGATGTACCAAAGGACCACTTTACTACTCGAATATAGCATAACCTAGCTTTCTGCGCCAAAAAAGTTTGGTGTTAAATGGTGTTATATGTAAACTTGGCTTGGGCGGTATTTCGGTATTACCAAATACCGCACTTTTTTTTCAATACCGAACAATACTGACTAACAATCCATGAATACTGGAATACCGACTAATTCAGTATGGAAATTCAACACCGCGGTATTCTGGCTAATTTGTTCAGAATGTTCCCACAACCCTCATAAGATGAAAGCAGACAATCATTTCCACAACAGTGGCTGCATACTTTGTGGTTTCAGTCATCCAGCATCACATTTGTATTGTCTCTTTTGGTGAGGAGAAGTAGTAGGTAGAAGCAGGTTCTGGCTCAATCCCATTTTCCACTCTGCTTCCACGCTTCACCGCCCACAGGCCCATTCACATCCGCGCCAGGGTTTCCCACTTCACCCACCTGACCTTTGACCCTGGCGCTTCCTCTTCACCCACCTTGACCTTTGACCCTTGTGTAAACAACTTGTGACTCTCAAAGAAAAAAGGGAATTCCCCTCTTTTTCGCTCCTGCCACAAGTCTCGACTTGCCCGGCCGAACTTGCGTCTCCTACTTCCCGGAAAAATTCTTTTTGCACTGAAGCTCTGAGAAAAAATGAGATTTATTGTGGAGTTGTATAAAAATAACTAACGATGAACATAACCGCCAGAGCTTTTAAAAAAATGAGAAAAATTTTAAAAACCTATATATATAAATAGAGACAATAGAGACTACGTCAAAAGCCAAATGAAAGTCAATTCAGTTTTTAGAATGCAAAAGGAGCGCACCTCGACTTACACAGAAGCAGATGACCTAAATTTCACAAACGTAAGCTTTCCAGTGCCCATTTTGCAAATTCCACGAATCAAATCACAAAATACAATCAACATATTTGGTTACGACAAAAAAGATGGCGTTTACATACTTTACAAAACTAAGGGCATAGGTGAACTGTTAAATTTACTTTACTTTACCCGAGGTGAAAAGAGTCATTACTGTTGGATCAAAACTTTTCCCGGTTGACTGGTGACATTTATAAACAAAAAAGTAAGAAATACTGGTGCTTTAATTGCATGTCGCTCTTCCAAACAGAAGAAAAGTTAAGCAGGCACAAAATAGATTGCCAAGGGTTAGACGCAGCACCCTGTAAAGTCGAATTACCCGTCAACGGCTAAAACATTTTCCAGTTTGAACATTACAAAAACAAACAAGATGCACCTTTTGTCATTTACGCAGATTTTGAGTCGGTTTTAGAGCACCTTCCTCCGATTTCACCAAACACGGTCAAGACCCAGATCCACAAACCCTGCGGCTATTCTTACACAGTCGTTAGATGCGACGGTAAATGCACGAGTCAAAAGACGTACAGACCTAACCTGGTCGCGCGAGTTACAAAAAATTTACGAAAATTGCAGTCGCTACTGGATTTGTGAAAAGCTTATCTGGCAAGATAAAAGAATTGCATTGCCAGTGCCCAATTCCAAACGAGCCAAAGACCAAAGGCGATCAAGCTGCTTATAGTTCTGCAAACAAAGCTGGTTTCAGAGAACTGCTCTGTATGACATGCACAAAGCCAATTAACAGATTCCTTAAGGTCAGATATCATTGTCATCATTGTCATTGTGGGACACTCTGTTAAAGCACTTGGGCGTAAAATTGGAACTATTGATAAACATTGATAAGCACCTGTTCTTAAAAAGGGCTAAACGAGGCGGTATCTCGAACATGGGTGCCAAGCGCTATGCCAAGGCGAACAATCCCAAATAACCATACTACGATCCAAAAAAGCCAGAATCGGCATATTCTTTACCTGGACGCGAATAACCTGTACGGCTGGGCCATGTCACAATCATTACCTGTGGGTGAATTCCAGTGTGTTGGAAACTTAGACAAGTTTACTCCTGATTTCATTTTTAAACTTTCGCCGGAACCCACTTTAGATTTGCGGGGGTACATGTTTGAGGTCACTTTGGACTATCCGCAAGACCTTCATTCATCACACAACGACTTCCCACTGGCGCCTGAGAACTTAGTACATGTAGTTCCCAATGAATGGTTTTCAAACTACCAACAAAAATTAATCGACAAAGGTGAGCAAGTAACTTCTGTAGATAAACTTGTCGCGACTTTAGGCACTAAACATAAATACGTAGTTCATTACCGAACGTTGCAAAAGTGCGTTAAAAGAGGTGCACCGCGTAATATCGTGTAAACAGGCCCCGTGGATGAAAAGTTATATTGATAAAAACACCGAATTGCGCAAATTGGCCAAATCTGATTTGTCTAAGACCTTAATGTATGATTTCTATTATAACAAGTAAAAAAATTAATTTTGGTAATAAAGCAAATTTACTTTACACGGACTCTTTGTTG